CTGCCCTCAGCCCGGGGGGAGAGCGGCCCAGCTGGCGGCGGCTCCAACCTCCCTTCCTCCCGGTCTCCTCGGAGAGGGGGAGCCGCCGCCGGCTGGGCCGCTCTCCCCCCGCCGGAGGTGCCGGGGGCTCCGCCTGTCCCTTAAGCGCGTCCCCACGAAGGTGATCGAGGGGCTGCGGGGCTGAGGGACCCGCCCAGAAGGCGGCTTGGGTTTTTTTTGGGGGGGGGGGGGGGGGGAGGGTTTGGTAGAGGTGGTTTTTTGGGGGGGGGGGGGGAGGGTCCCTAAGTGACACCTCTGCTGCTGTGGTGTGGGTTTATTCAAGGAGCTGCTGGCTGAAAAAGGAGTGGAATTCCCGCCTGCGGGGGAGGCAGAAGAACAGCTGCGGGAGCGGGTTTCAGGTTATGTGTTTTACAGGGGAAAGTCGGGGCTGTGTGTAAAATAAAAACATTAAAACTCTATAGTTGGCAGCGATTTCAAAGTGTTAACTCTAGCCCTCAGTGCTCTTGACCCAGGGTTTCCATTTCCCCCCCCCCATTTATTAACTCTTATCACTGAAAACGTGGTTTAAAAACTTAAAACCTTGTGTCTCTTAGACTTTATCAAGGCATGCTTTATCAGCGCTCTTGACAGAATATTACTACTCGGTCAGCTAATTGAGAAAGCAATTGCTGGAGCTGTGCTAGTGACAAATCTGACAGTCCCTTGTGACTTTTCTTACCATGTTCCTAATGCATAGTGCTGATTGTTTACTTCTCTAGAAATCCACTATTAAGTACTCCTGAGCTTCGTTTAATTCCTTTTTTAATTACATGATATTGCGGGTTCTTTTTTGTCTCTGTGTGCAAAGTAAAAAATGTCTGTTAGGGATTAGCTTTGTGTTACATTTTAAAGTCTCTGGAAATAAATTTAGAATCATAAAAGCAGTTGAGCTTTCGTTCAAGAGAGAAACTGTTCTGAGCTAGGCTCTCATTAAATAAATACTTTGAATCACTGATTTTTTTTTTATTTTTTAATTTTTTTTACTTCTCTACCCAATTCCTTTTGACTTCGCTATGGTTTATTCTAAGCTGCAATCCAGCAGCAGATCAAGAGGCTTAGGAGGAAACATCAGATGGTTTCGGTTAGTGTCCCTACCACTTGGAAAATAAACACGTTAGTACCATATGCTGCCTTGACTTTATTGAAACAAATTTTCTCAAAATGGAAATAAGGTATGTCAGTGTACTTGCTAGAACCATGTAACTTAATAGGGTCCTTTATCATTTACTCTTTTTGGTTGTTTTTTGGGGGGGTTTTTTGGTTTTTGGTTTTTTTTTGAAAGATCGGCTCGCTGAGGGGGGAATTCCCTTTCTTGAACACAACGCTATATAAAATCATTAACTCCAAATTCAGCAGGCTGCAAAGAACACCATTGTGCCCAGTTAGATTATTTATTTTTTTTTTCAAATAAAAAGAGTCTGTAATCTTGTGTTTTGAAGTGCTTGTGTTATTACAATTAAAAAATCTCTGGATATTGGAAAAAAAAAAAAAAGGCAAAATTTTAAAATGAGAGTTTCCAGTACTGAATTTCTAACTATACTAACCTTTAACTCTGCCTAGTGACTTCAGCAAGAGGTAGCCCAGGGCCTTGGACTCAGGTCTGTGATTTGCAAACACAGCATGATTTCCTAACACAGGATTCAAATCTTCTATTTAAAAAAAAATAAAATAAATAAAAATTGAGCTACAATCTAGGGGTGAAACTTTGCAAGAGGAATGTGAGCTGGTGATTGGGTGGAAAAGTGCCATTCTCTTGAGACAAGTAGGTTAGGTTAAAAAATAAGCTTACTGCAAGCCGTCAAGCGTAATTACAAAAATGTTGGCTTTGACATTGTAAGCTTTGGCATTTGTTGGGAGTTTGCTCTCATGGAAGCACTGATGACCTCAGTGAAACTTTGTTTTTTTGTAAGGCTTCACCTGCACTGAGCAGCCTGTCAGTCTCGATCTCGGTATATATTGGTGGGCCTGTACCACTAAAAACCAGCAGAAGTTACCTCCTAGTTAAAACTGTCTACTTGAAAATATTTCAAAATACCCCCCTCTTTTTTCATCCCGCTTTTCTGTACTCTTTAAAAAGGTCTTCATGTACTTGGAAGCAACTGTGAAACGATACCAACAATATTAAAGTGACATGTGTAAGGATATAATATGTACTAGCCATAGGATTAATATAAATTAATGTCATAAATCAGCAAGATGCTGCTTATTTAAAGAGCTGTTAGATATTAAGAGCTGTAACTAATAAGAAAACACCCTTCATTAAAGTGCTCCCTCATGTAAAAGGCTCCAGAAGAAACTGGTTGCCTATTTGATACAGCAGTGGCTTGTCTCTGATGTTTGAAAATTTTTTGCTGATTTACTTTGCAGAAGTAATTTTAATGTGACCCCGTTGACTTGCATGCTGCTTAATTGCTTTACTAGGTCAATGAAGTTCGTTGTTTAGAAATTGTTATGCCTCTTGAAGATGAAATTCTCTTAAATATCAGTATTAAATTATGTAATTGTTGGGTCATGATGTCTGCAGAGCAATAAAAAATAGTAACGTTGTGGTGCATGCTTTTTGTTTTTTATGGCCCCAGTCCTGTCAATGTTTGCGCTTACATATGCTTAATTTTAAACACCCAAGTATTTATTTTGGAATTAGTAGGTCTGTTCTTAAGCTTAATGTTAAGCCTGCATGTAGATGTTTTCGGGGTCAGGATTTATGTTCGCAAAGTTCACAGGATAAACCTGTCATGTGTTTTCATACTGGCTGTTGTGTGTTCTGTGTGAGATAATGTAGGTAGCCGGCTTCTGCTTCGGAGCTGGGGGCTGGTTTATCTACTGACACGTAAAGGATGCTCCCAGCCCAGCTTCCACGTTACACAGCTCGTGCGGAGCTGACTTCATCCTTGCGGTGTGCTTTGCAACACTGCGGGCATCCCCTTTATTTCTAAAGTATTGTCACTGGTATAAACGTGCATAGATGTCAATCCTTCTCACTTATTTCAATGGATGGAAGTTTTACAAGTAATTTGGGGGCTGGAAGAGGAGGGGGCTGTCTCTTGCTGAGTCTCGCACTGAGCCATGCACTAGATTGTGAAAACAAAAGCTTAAGGATGCAGTTGTTTGATATAAAATCAGGTAACTCACGACCGTGCAAGATTTTAATTTGTTTTGCGTTTCTGCGGCTTTTCCACCCTGTTACTGGGTTCTCATTTTCTTTAAAACATGGAACCCTGGTGGTAAGATAGCTCAGTATTGGCAGCCTCATTTTTGTTTTAACTAAGTTGTGATGTTGCTCTGGGGTTGTGGTATTTTGTTAAGAATGTCTAGAATTTTCTTCCTGTCATTGCAGCAAAGCAGACCAAATTGGGTAAAAAAGTAATTGGGAGGTTATAAATGTGTCAGCTCAATATAGAAGTTAATTTTTGCCGAGGCAGAGTTGGTTTACTTTGGGATGGAGTGATAGTGATTTTGCCTGGCTGCTTTTCCTTCATTCCACAGATCAGAATGTGGTTTTATGTTTCATTGCAGACGTTTGTCACACTTAGCCCCTGTTTGATAGGGTATACAGAATTTTTATGAAGAACCCTTGTTTGTAGAGCAAAATGCAATTTGATCAAGAAGTATATCCAATATAAGAACTGATGGGGTTTTAAAATGTTGTAAATGGTAGTAATAAGTAGGTATAGATTATGAAGAAGAAAGAACTATGACTTATTTGTCTTTTTTGTAGCAATAGAGCACAAGGGAAAGTGACACATGTTAAAGGAGAACCTGTATGTGTCTGGGAGGACCCCAGTAGTTGCAGGAAGGCAACTGGGCTTTTGGATCAGTTTGCCCGGAGTGTTGTAATTCTTTCAGGTATTATTCAGCACAGTGGGGAGGAATGAGTGACGAGTTACCTGCTTCTGGATTGGTATGTCCTTTGCAGTGGGAGTGATTTTTTGAAGCGTGCTCTCAGCTGTGCTCCCCACCCCAATGCCTGAGATAGCTCTGCCACTGTGTATTCCTGTGACATTCTCCAGAGAGGCTGCAGGAGCCCAGTGGAAGGTGTCGGGATGC